TTCATTTGAAAACCCCCGTTCAGTTATTTTTGTTAGTTATAGTGTCTATAAATAGGTTTTTTTTTAAATTTTATTTTTTAGTGTCTGGAAGCGGTTTTAATTTTAATTTTATTTTATTGATTATAAAGGTAAAGTTAAATAATATAACATACATACTACATGTTGCTAAACTACTTACAGAGACAAAACACTTTTTAGAATGAGATAAAATTATTTAAAGTCAAGTGATTTTGGAAGTCAAAGCCAAGGAGTCAAATGATTTACAGGATTTATTAGTGACCACTCTACCTTGATTATATTTAACCGTCCCCGTGACAATATTAATTCAATATTGTTGACAGATAACTAATATCTATTATTACTTATCTGTTTATAAAATATTGTGTTTCTATAGCTTTCCTGACATACCTATAAATAGAATATATTTTTGTAATAATTTATTCTTCATATAGGACCAAACCACAAAATTAATAAACATCATAGAAATAATGATATTAGAAGCAAATGGTGACAAGTATAGCTAGTTTTATATTAAAATTCGTAAGCCTAGGATTTGTTATAGCCGCAGGAGCTTTATGGGAAAGTGGAGATGTAGACATGAGACCAAAAAATAGAGATGAGCAAACGCTTATTGGGGGTGCCGTATGGTCTCAAACACAAATTCCAATAGGGCTTTTAATTTCTATGGTCGTTGATGAAGGACTCTCTTCGTTCGTACATACCTATTTTTTATTTACTGGCTTTATGATTCTTGGTGTGACTGGAGTTATGTTGGTGGGTTTATATTTAACTTTATCGAGTTATAAGTAGTTGCTATATATAAGTATGTTATTAGGAATAAATAAAAAAAAACATGATTTATAAAAAAATCAGGGGACGTAAGCCAACTTGACCACTATTACTGGCTATTTTTATGTAAACTTGTAGGTTAATCTATTAAATGTTATGCCAATAATTTAAGTCACCTAGAGCTGTTTTAATTATTTTATATCTGTGGCATAACGTAATTTTCCAAATCAATGTCTTTATGGATTTACTAAGGAAACACTTGGGCCATGTAAAGGATGGCCTTCTCATGTCTCTTTTTTTAATTTAAAAGGGTAAAATAAAGAATATAGAATATGATTAGTACATTTTTATCTTACAGAGGTAGCAAACAAGTAAATAGCTTGTTAGTTTACTAGGTTGATTCCCCATACAAACTTTCATCTTCATTTTCACCTCTTTAAGGAATGATTTCTGGGATAAAAATCCTATGTCCTTTATAGGGTCTCAAACTATCTCCTTACCAAATTTCATCAAAATCGGTTCAGTAGATCTAGAGATTACTCCCTACAGCGTCACAAACTCACAAACTTTACCTCTTTATAATATTAGTATATATAAGTATAAGTATAGATGGAGGCTTTAGTTATAAAAATACTATTTTTTCTTACAGATAACAGTCGAAGGTAAAAAACTAAAGAAAAGTCGTTCTGTTATTACTATAAGCTCTGGGCGTCCGGAATCCGTAGAAGTCTTCGATAAAATATACTTTATTATAGGAATACTAACACTACTTGCCGCTATCCTGACTTTTATTGATTTCGTTTTGAATATTATATGAGTGTAAAACTATTAAAAACATAATTATGTCAAATAAAAAAATATAATTTACTACAACTGAAATTGAGTTTTCAATGAACATAATATTTATATTTATTTAAAATTCACACGAAAAAGTACGCTTCGGAAATTAATTATTGTGAGTAAGCTATGTTATTCTTCTTTGAATTAATATTATTAAACATTTAAATATCGTTGAAGTATTAGTCTTGTGCATAACAAATGCTATGCTATAAATTAAAAATGACTTTTTATTAAACTGAGTGAAACGGGTTCAAACCCCGGGTCTCGCATGTCTGATATTTTCATGTGCGAATCATTTCTAACATGATTACCACTTGTTTTACCGCGTGAACGAAAACATCGTGAGGAAATCTGCATATTTAAGATAACCTAGCAAGTTTTCAAAAGACATGTGAAGTCCGGCAACCCGCACTTGGCCAACGTGGTGGACTATGACCTGATCCAGCTTGAAGTAAAGGCCCGTGACCAGCAGTGGGACGTTTAAAAAAAGGGCTGAATATATATTATAGTTGATAATAAATGCATTATTCAGTCCTTTAATTAGTTTAGATTTAACAATTCTTTATCATCACTGCTATAATCCAATACCATCAATTCATCACCATTAGCCCTATTCTAATTAAAGTGTTTCCAATTCGGTGACTCATGGCTTCCAATTTGAAATGAAAAAAGTATTCGCATCCCAGTTTACTTCTGCACAAGCCAACACTACATCTATGAGACGGTTGGAGTTTCTAATTTTCCGTACTCACTATACATGGTGAACCTACTTTAACCTCCTCATTAAAGATGCCTCTCTATTTTGTTTTCAGGAGCATATATTATTACTTTATTGAATAATCAGGTCTCAATTAGAAGCAGTAAAAATAGCATTTATTTGCTCCATTTCGCCTTTTTTATAATATTTACAAATTGTACTATTCATATTCTAATTTGTAGTTCTCATTTTCGGCTTGATCGAAGGTATTAAGTTTGATGTAAGCTTTGTTGTTGACATTTATTTCCAGTAATTTAGACTTATTTTCCTTCTTTTTCTACTCTTTATTTTAACCAAGGATATTATAATAGTCGTATGAGCACGTTAAGCCCTCGGTCCTGCGCCTTAACTCTCACCGGTCGTGTCGAGTGGTCGTCCCACCGGAGTATGAGAGTGAGAGGAATAGAGAGTGCACTTGTGTCTGCGCGTACCCTAGTGCACTATAATATCTCCTGCGCAGTTGGCTAACCTCAATGAGATTGGCCGTCGTGGCTGGAATCGGCTAGGAGAACATCATCATCATAATAGTCGTGATCAATATTCGCTCATCTGTCACTCCCACAATTATTTATTGATTTATTTATTAAATATTTATTAGTTTAAAAAAGATTAAATAGGAATATCTTCATATTTTATTAAATGTATTTTCATATATTGGTTGAACAGAATTTAAAATAAACCTTTCAATAAGATTAGCTAATAGCATGGCATAGCTCATAATATGTGCTGGATAGCTTGCCTTACAAAGTTAGTCCTTTATATAAGGTTTCATTCTTGTATGCGAATATAATTTGCTATTGTCATGTTGAGAGCAGCAATTTTATTCAGTATTTGAAGTACTCTTATAATCAATATGCCTTTTGGATTGTAAGTGTTTACTAACAGTTTATATGATTGTCTTTTACAATACAATATGTGCCAGTAAGTGACACTTACATGGAATAGTAAGTGCCCTATTACTGCAAGAGTACACGTTATCATTATTATTATTACACTAGTGATAACGGTCTGTGTCTAAGAATTTCTTATAATATCTTCTTAAAATATCTTTTCAGCATAATTATAACAGGTCTTCTAGCTTTTGGAGCTTACTGGACGACAAAATATATTATGAATATGGCCGACACAAATACAAACAATCTTGATATGCATTTGACAACAATACCCCCTAAATTATAGTGAAGGGACACCTCTAGTATATCTATATTAACATATGTATAATTGTCAATTTTAATAAACAATGATAAAATAAATTGTAACAGGTTTTACTAATCAATAAAATATATAAATAACAATTAATTTTATTATTTATAAAATAGGGCACGAGCATGGCTGAATCGTACAGACGGTTCCGTAGCACGAAACAATGTTTATGACTTTAGAAGTATATATAACTTGGCAACTGTTAGTTTGGATCAAAAGTCACTTAGAAACTTCTAGATATCCCAATTTCAAACACCTACACAGAGGTTTCAGGACCTCACACTACAGGCTGATATTCTTTTAATGATGATTTTTTTTACCCTACTGTTACTTGTATAAAGTGACACTCCTATTTTCAACCGACTTCAAAAAGGAGGAGGTTCTCAATTCGACTGTTTTTATTTATGTTTGTTTTGTTTGTTGTTGTTACCTCAGAACTCCGTCATTTATTAACCGATTTGGACAATTTTTGTGTTGTTTGAAAGTGTATACTTCCAGATTGGTCCCATTTAAATTTAAAAAAAAATATCACCCCTAAGGGTGGAAAAATAGCTAATGATGAATTTAACCTACTTCTAATTGTCATATTGACTTGAAACTTTGCAAGTGTTTCTATTTCCGTTGATAGTACAGTCGTTCAGTATTGTTGACCTGATCTGGTGGTAAGGCCAGAAGGTGGATAGGTGAAACTCTTCAACGGCTAATAGTAGATACTTTAAGTTTGGGCTTATTTTGTTTGATTTGACAAGCCTAACACGTTAGAATTCTTACTTTGCTACTACTGTCTACACTAAAAAGGGAAAAATAAAAACTTTTTAACAAAAAAATAAAAACCGACTTCAAACAAAAGCACTAAAAAGTAAAAAATAACTAATTGGTAGTTTTCATTTACTATACATACCTAATCAAATATTTTTTTATAGTATGCTAGTACGAGACAAAAAATTATAGATTTTTTCTAAAACTTAATTATTATATGTAGTTGGCGAAAAATAAATTAGGCACGGTTTTGGCCAACTGTAATGCAAAGGAATCGTCAAAACGAATGAAATGAACCCAAACCGGAACTCAACTCGGGTTTTCTCCTAGGTATTCAGAGTTTATACCTAAGGCTTTACCTTCAGTTCACCTCGATGGTGGTGGTTCAAATCAATAAGACAATTAGAACAAAGTTATATATCGACTTGAGATATAACTTGATTACATTTACAAGTGAAACTAATAAAAAAGAGTGTTTTAAAAGTATATCGTATGAAGTGCCCCTTATTTCAAGGAAATATTTTTGTAAATTGATACTTTGCACTCATTACAGACAAGCCATTGTTACTCTTGAATTGATTTACTTACTAAATGAAGCCCCAAGTGGGCAGGTGTTTTACGAGTTTTTCGAAAAAAATTGAGACATCATTCAATGGCTTTTGCCTAGTGAGTACTTTTATCTGTAATCATGTACGCCTATGTGTAATAGTACTGTAGACAGATTTTTAGATAATATTATTTAGATTTACGTGAATATTCGACATTTTAAATATCTTTTCGTATACTATCTTTTCGGACTTTTTCTCTCCCGTACGACCATGATTGCTGTAGAGCATTCGAATCGTCGGGAACTGAAAATTAAAATAAATCTACCAAACAATCTGAAAGGATAGTTTTATTTAATATAATTTTAGATTTTACGAAAACAACAGTTATCTTAAAGTGTTTGTTGGTTTGGTTATAAATACTTATACGTTTGACATGAATTTGTTATATTCTTTTACTCATACCTACAATGTAATAATTTAGTTCATTTATACATATCTATAATAAAATTTTAACGGAGTTGAATCTGTACATTAAATATTGATTGGAAAATCTTATCAAAATAGTCATTATTATCGATACAGAGGCGAAATCTATAGTTTTTACAATTTTTGTCTGTCTGCTGTCTGACAACGCATCACGAGAAAACCACTGGACAGATTTTGAAGAAATTTGGTATGACGATAGCTGGTGTTTCGGGTCAACATATAGGATATTTTTTACTGCAGGAAAATATCTGATCTCTGAGAAATCTATACTGAGCGTTAAAACGTACTATAAAATCGTATTTTGTATTTTATTAATAAAATATAAACTTATAAGGTTATATATTTTATTAATAAAACACAATATATACAAGCCTAAATTCAAGAAGAAAATACTTAAAAAAACTTTTGTTTTTAGTTTATTTATTGGGTGCCTATTAGCTTTCGGCGTGTTATGGGGATTAAAATACGTTCTGATGCCGTTTGAGCCTGAAATCAAACCTAATACAACAACAACAACAACTACTACTACTGCTGTTACTACTACAGAGGCTGTCACCGCTCCTGAGACAACTGTAAACCCCACGAACGCTAGTGAGTCAATTAAGTACTGGTAACACCACAACGTCAACAGAAGGCCCAGTATAAGATCACCTCAAAAACATTACTCTTAATTACTGTATACTATGAAGAAGTATTATAGGACAGTAAAAAAATGTTTTAACTTTTTTATTTATTTTAAAAAAATGCCTTTCGAATCATAAGTATTCGATATTCGGGCTGTTGGTATATATGCGAAAGTTTGTATATGTGTGTGTCTGTGCAGGCTTCACACCTTATGATTAGGATGAGACACATAGGTCGTTAGGTACAGATTACACATAGGCTACTATTAGTCTCCAAGAAACGGAACCGAGTGAAGAGAGGTTAAGTCTAAAGTCACTAGTTTTTATATGACTATGTCTACGGAGTTATGAAAGAGTTTCCTTGTTTAAAGAGATATGTATAACTAATATGGTAATTTGTAAAAGTAAACAACAGTATATTATATGATATAATTATAGGTTCTGATCTATACAAATATTGTAAATGTGAAAGTAACATCTTCTGTTTGTTACCTTTGTACGCTTAAAAGTAGATAGGATAAGGATTACCCATGAACGAATTAGTCTCTAATTCGTCCATGGGATTACCTTATAATTCCTACCGCGTTTATCATGTGAAACCTTAATTTGATATATTATGGTGTCTCAAAAATGATGTCAAAAGTGTTAATCTATAGATTATTACAATTTTTTAATACCTATCTGTAATTTTGCAATTTTAATGCAATAAGATAAATGGAATTGCATATACATAGATCAAACGTTTTTTAAAATTTTAGGTTATACATAATGGCTGCAGTTTAGAATTGGGGACTTGGCCCCTAGCGGAGTGGGTGGTATTTCTGGATAAGTAAAAAGTTACAACATTTCCATACATTATTTTGACATTACTATCATTTAGACACTTGGAGTCAAAACGTCACTTTCAATTGTCAAAATTATTTGTACTTTACGTGAAATTCGAATTTTCTAGTTTTCTAGTCATTTATGGCACTCGCCGGCCGCTACCGCGGCACGCTCGCTTCGCTCGCTCGGCTCGTGCGTTGTGGCAACTGTTCTAACCTAACCTAACCAAGATATGAGGAATAATAAATAAATAATCTTAAATGACCTAACCTAACCCAGATATGAGGAATAATAAATAAATAATCTTAAATGTTCTAACCTAACCTAACCCAGATATGAGGAATAATAAATATATAATCTTAAATGTTCTATCCTAACCCAGATATGACGAATAATAAATATATAATCTTAAATGTTCTATCCTAACCCAGATATGACGAATAATAAATATATAATCTTAAATGTTCTAACCTAACCTAACCCAGATATGACGAATAATAAATAAATAATTAAAAATATTCACAGATAAAAAAATGATTTTTTTTACTAAATGTACAATTGTAAAACAATATATTTTACATAAATCAAATAAAAAGTCATAAATGTATTTATAAAGTGAAAATAATATTTTTCTTTTTATTTATTTATTTATTAATAGTAATATTTTACCAACAGAAAAAGCAAAAATAATCAAATATAATCTGTTGTCATTTAAGCGGTAATATAAAACAAAGTGTCAGTTTTGCTTTTGTCAAAATGTAAGATCATTTTGTTTGTGTTGTGAAATTATTAAAATATTAAATACAATAAATCATTAATTGTTGTGAAAATATGTATTGTACATAAAAAAGGATGCGTACTATTCGTTAAAGGTATGTTTATCTGTTGTAATCACTTATTTAGGTAAAGAAATGTATGGAAATGTGTTAGATATGTTAATGTAACTTTTTACTCGTACGTTTCCTCCAAATATTTTTAATATATTTTGACTCTCTGTCACCTCCCCTATTTAAAAATACCACCCACTCCGAATGGTGGTAAAGAAATATATGAAAATGTATGGAAATGTTGTAACTTTAAGTCTCAATAACTTTTTACTCATACGTTCGCGGACAATTTTTATTTAACATTTCGACTCCCTATCACGTCCCTTATCCAGAAATACCACCCACTCCGCTAGGGGCCAAGTCCCCAATTCTAAATTTGTGCCTACATAATATATAATATTCTTTCGTCAGAACTTTCCATCACTGATTTGCATAGTTTTGGTGAATTTTATTGACATAACACTCAATTTTCTTAATTATCGCAGGGATGATCCTGACTTCAACATTCTATTTCTAATATTTTATATTATTTTTTTTTCTTTAGTGGCTTATAGTTGCGTTAACAGACGCAAAACATTCTGCCAGTGTCACGTATTGTGAGGAATCTTATATTATTATTGTAAAAAATTTGACTGATCAGACAACTGCAGCCCCATAATAATAAAAAAAAATTTGACAATGTCAATACAAAATTTATTGTGTAATCGAAATTTATTTTAAAATATATCCAAAAATAACATTAATAATTGAATTAATAGTATAAAAAATGTTTTAAAACACAACAAAATCGAAAGTGCATAATATTTAACACCATTCAGACAAAGAAAGACAATAGCATTCCCAAGGAGGGTTGACGTCAGGCAGGCGGCCGGTCGTAAAACTTTTGCCAAATCCTATCAGCAGTACACTGATGTACTGCGCCGACCCCAAGTGATTTGGGAAATGGGCAGGAAGAAGAAGAAGAAGAAGACAACTGCAGCCCCATCTTTAAGCGGGTAATATCCAAATTGGGATTTTTTTCATTTTGTTGATCAAAATTCTAGATGATGTGATTAGACTTTACCTTTAGGATATTTTGAAGTTCAAGGTAATTTGATATGTAGTTTGTTTTAAATCAGTATGTAATTTATTTAGTTAACACAATATTCAGTGTATGTTATGTCAAGTGTTTCTTTTGTGGTTGTTATATTTGCAAAGGATGTTTATACAGACGAATGTTTTGGATACTGTTTATACAAAAGAATTTGTGTAACATTGAACTATCGACAGTCAACTGTAATCAATTTAGTCAATTGGTAGAAGTTACGATATTATGAAACGAGTTTTATAACTAATTTTACGTACATAAATTTTCCACTTATTCCACGAAAAATGGTGATTGCTGGAACGTGAGTCTCTTTTTATTCACATTTTAAATATATATGGAATTATCTCATGGCAGCCACTCTTAACTGGCTATAGCTAAATAATATACTGATAAAAACTTAAAAAAATAATAATAACCGACTTCTAGGCACTAAAAAGTAAAAAATGATACCTAATCAGATATTTTTGAAGTCGAAGTGTGCTTTGATTTACGAGTATATCAGCTGGCACCGACTTCGAGTAAGTCTGTATGAAGTTGCTAAACATAGAAAGTACTTATGCATACTTAATATTATAAATATGAGAATGTGTTTGTTTGTTTGTTTGTTTGTTTGTTTGTTTGTTTGTTTGTTTTTTGTTTGTTTGTTCTTCTTTCACGTCGAAACTGAGTTACGTTAGTTTTGTATGGATATAGTTGGAGAGCTGGAGAGTGACATAGGCTTATTTTATCTCAGGAGATTACCTACAATAACTCATCATACCTATGTATATATGTATAAAATATGTAGTCTATATATCTATTCCATACTAACCGTTAAAACACAGGAACAAATCGGAATGAAGTAAGGGTAAGTCTCTAATAAAATAATGTTTTTACAGATTTCTTATGACTGGAGCGCTTATGGTCACACTTTATTTAGGTGTAAAGTATTTATTGGAAATGGATAGTCGAGGCAATGATATACCAATTGCCAATTTAAGTCAATTAGGGAAATAATCATTCTATTAATAATGTAATCATCGCCACTTTTTAGTTTTTTAAACATTAAGATTGTTGTTTTATGTACTAGTTTAAGAATTTTATAATTAAATATTTACCTATAATTACATGATTATGATGTATTATCTCTTTTATTCAAACTGCTATCCCGTTTATATCTGCTATCCCGTGTATATCGTTTTAAACTTTAGCAGCATCGTAATAACACTCTCATATTTTTTTCCAAACGTCCTACAAGACGTATAACTTCAAAAATTATAGCAAATAAAATATCTTCTAAATAATACTTGTAACTTAATTTTGAAAATTTAGTAAGTGCTACCTACAACATAGATAAAACTGTTCGAATGGAAATACTGCACTGTTAGTTTGAGAGCGTATTTGGCGATATTTATATTTCAAGCTTAAAACCTTATTGTTTAAAATGGCTCTTGCTTAATTTGCTTAATACAATCTCGTTAAATAAATATTATAATTAAACGTAAAATTTTGTATTCTTATCCTATTTTTTTTTCAAGTTAAGATTAAGGTCCCTCTTCTTTGCTCTAACTCGAAAATGTGATGTGAATTTCCCTTTGTAGTTTTGTCCCTGGTGGTAGTTTTTTATAATATGTATCTGTATTTTTGCCTTAAAATAAACAATTTGTGCCAAGAGTTTATCCATACTAATATAAATGTGCAAGTGTGTTTGTTTGTCCTTCTTTCACGTCGAAACAGAGTGAGGAATTGGCGTGATTTTTTGTGTGGAGATAGTTGAAGGGCTAGAGAATGACATAGGCTACTTCTAAGCGAGAGGAGATTATCTCATCTCATCAGAAGATTATCTCATTCCCACGGGAATAAATGTTATAACACATCCCAAAAAATATTTATAATCAGAATTACTTGAAACTTAGTATTAATCCTCTTTAATACAATTTAATAAATACGTGTTTAAGCGTTTTTTGAAATTCATCCCATAAGGGAGTAAAATAGGAGATGAAAGTTGGGATGAAACCTACCTTTTTAGTTTTATGTTGTAGTTTTAGCCCGAGCGAAGCCGCGGGTTCTGCTAGTACTTATATAAACTAATATAATAAATTCATATAGATAAATATCTAAAACTCTGCATAAGGAATACTTATTGATGTAAATATTGTTTTGTAGTTTATTTATGTACACAATGAGCGTCAGAAATAACAATAAGTACCTATTGTTCCATTGAAAAGAAAGTTCTTTTAGTTGCTATTGAACTCTCAACAGCAATAGAATAATATCAATCGATAAATAAAAATATATTTTGTTAGAATTTAACTACCTATTCAACTTAGAATATCGCAAAAAAATGGCTGCGGGGCTGTAAGTATTTATTTAGCTTAATTATTATGAAAAAAGTTTATTTAATTGTAACATTTACATTAATTTTTTAGAATTCCTATTCTTATGTAACAAAATTAGTGCTTTTTTTAAAATTATTCCACATATTGACTGTTAATTGTTAAATAATATGTCCTATTACTAAAAAAACTCGACTTCTTACTAATGTCTGCTCTAATTTCCAGTGTGCTTATCCTTGGAGCAATTGTCTTCTCGGCATTTTGGACAACAAAGTTTTTGACTGAAGTATATTCGAGAATTAAAACTAAGCATAATATAGCGTCAGTGAACAACATGTCGGTGTCGAAATTAGAATCAATAGGATTTTCAGGAGACTTTGTTGAATATAAAGAATAATCTAACTTACTTATATTGTTACTAGCGACTCACCCACGCTTCGCTCGGGTTTGTCCCTAAGTACGTTTTAACAGTTAATCTTTGAATGTCTCGGCTTTTCTGTACTATATGTACATGTATTATACATAGGTATAAACCTTCCTCTTGAATCATCTATTCTCTATCTATCTCTATCTATTGCTGAAAACTGCATTAAAATCCGTCGAGTAGTTCAAAAGATCTAAGCGAACAGACAGCGGAAGCGACTTCATTTTATACTATGTAAAGAAATACTCTGCTAATCGCATATAGTGTCATTTTACTTTTATAGAAAGGTAGGTATGTTAAAGGAAAATAAGAAGACTATTATAATTTTAATACATATGTAGTTTACTTTTAGTGTAATATACTTAAGTGTAACTAATTATATTTAGAAATATTTCCATCCATACTAATATTATAAATGTGAAAGTGTGTTTGTTTGTTTGTCCTTCTTTCACGTCGAACCAGAGTGACGGATTGGCGTGATTTTTTGTGTGGAGATAGTTGGAGGGCTGGAGAGTGACATAGGCTACTTTTTACAGATTATTTTATTCCCACGGGAAAACACGTTATAATACAAACCAAAAAAATATTTATGTTCAGAATTGAACTTGAAGCTTGGTATTAATACTCTTCAGAAGAAATTAATAAATACGTATATTATCATTTTTCGAAATTAATCCTATGAGGGGGTAATATAGAGATACAAGTTGGTATAAAACCTACCTTTTAAAGTTATTTTTGTAGTTTTAGCGCGAGCGAAGCCGCGGGTTCTGTTAGTATTAATAATATTAAACAAATAATTTTCTCTAAAATTTAGCTTCCTCAGTATGGTTCGACATAAGTAATGAAGCTCATCTACAGTTAGCTCGTTTTCGAATTATTGTTTGAGTTTTTTGTAAACTTATTTTTCAGATTCCTCTTGACGGGTGTTTTAATATTTGGTCTATATTTACTAACAGAAAAAGTGAGGATCAAAACCTCGTTTTTGTCTGATGACGATTACTTCGACTCTTCACAGAATTATATCTTGAACTGGAACGCTAGTAATTTTAATGAATTTGTTAATGAAACTGAATATTAATATTATAATAAAATATGATTTGTATCACATTAGTATAAAAACAATAATTATTTTCAAGTAAATATTAACAAGAATAGATAAATAGGTTATAATGAAAACTAAAGCTTCAATATTTAATCATTTATTTTCTTACAAAAATACAATAGTGTAAACTACTTGAATCCATTACATTTTATTGTGCGCTTCTACTTGTACATTTAACCATCAGTTCTATGAAATATTTCAGGAAACTGAGATACTGATAATGTGAATTATGTAAAATATCAATTTTGTAATATATATATAATAAATACATAATTGCTATTTCGTTTTATTTAATTTTTATTCTGTAATAGAGTTATCACAACGTATGTATTCGTATATATGTATATATATATATATACACATAATGTATATATGTATATATATATATATATATATATATATGTATATATATATATATATATATATATCATAGCATTGTTCCTTTATGTAAATTTATATAATTTTATAAATATTGAAAAAAAACATTGGGGTTAATGTTGAGTCAAATATAGTTCTAGACAAGTATTTCCATCATTAGGTATAAACTGTTAGAAGGTAAACGGGTATCTAATGAAATGAATATGGTAAGATTTAAGTATGGAATATAATTATCAGTTTTCCATAGAAATGATGGTCTACTTAGAAGATTGATATCTACATATCATTAAAATTGAAATGTCTTTCTGTAATTCAAATCTTACCTACTTATTGAGCTTTAATATATGTTTGTAAAATATTAAAATTGGATAATTATATATATTGAGTTACGTTATAATTTGGGGAAAAATATCTTGTTTGTTCGTAACTGTTGTTTAACAGTTACGAACAAACAAGATATTTTCCGGGAAACAATTTTCATGGAACTTGCACTAACGCAAAGAGAATTTAGATTTAAAGTATGTATATAGGCTAATTTAAAATCCAAAAAGAAATAGGTCCCAAAGAGCTAAGAAGAAATACTTAACCGATTAAGAGTAAGGAGGAGCTTCTAGTAAATAATTATTATATTCATCGCTGATAAGGCCATTGATTTTTAAAGTTAATAATTTTAATTTTATGATTTACGAGTATGATGTAAACGTATTAATTATGATAAATGCTTTAAAATACTTTAGTATACCGATCATATTTACTGAAACACGGTACATAAAGACATTTTGCACCCGAATTTTTAAGTACATTTATATAATATAAAATTGAACATAATACGATAAAAACGTTTTCATAGATTTTTTTCTTTGTCATTTACCGACCTGAAGTGAATTCTTATGTATTATTGTATACTTAATAATTATTATAAATAAGCAAATAGCTCATCTAATTTTTAAATTACATTTCATAGATAATATTTAGGTACATATACTTAAATGAACATACAGTTCCCTCTTGTTTGTTAAAACTCAAAATGTGATGTGAATCTTTTGTTTAGAATCATTATAGATAATTTAATTGAATGATACTAAATATTCAAATTGGCGAAGAAAAATATATAACAATATGTGTTTCTTCTCGAAACTCAAAAAAATTAAGTTTTTATTGTGACAATAATTGTGATTATATAACGTTACCATTTGTTTAATTTATAATTTTTTTATTATATAAAATTTTTAAGTTTTTTACACATAAAGGTTTTTCTGGCGCGAGTATTAATGCTTAAGAGCAACAACACAGTGCAAATCTTTCAATTTACTATATTGCTCTTTTATTCTTGTAGGCGTCTATAATTTATATTAATTCTTCAAAGATATTGTATGAAAATGTTGCTAGTTTCAAACCTAAACGTGCAAGAACATTAAGTAATATTTTCTAATACCTTAGTTTTTCTTATATATTTATAAATTATTACTGTGTACCACAACCACTAAAAGCTTTGATAAAATGTAAGTTAGGTACCAGTTAAAAATTGTAAATGTATATCGTGATGATTAGCCTTAAAATATGTACATATATAATATGTAATATATAATAATATCAGTTCATGCAATATCATATTAAGTAGAGTCAGACCGTTCTATTTTCATTGTAATTACTATTTTTTATTTTTGTTACTTTTGCTTTTAGGGCGAAGACCGTCCATTCCTTTGCCAAAGGGAGATTCCGAATTTGTCGTCAAATAATAAGATCCTCTGGCACTGTAAAATAAAAAATATATCTATATATAAACAATACAGTGGCTTATTTTACTTCTTATTGTCTGTGAATAATAGAAAATAATATGTAATTTAAAATTAGATAAATTATACACGTGACAACATATAAAAAAATGTTAAAGAATTGTGAAAGAGTTTCTTGTAAAAAATTACATTATTTAACGTTTCTGATTCTTGCCAACAATAATATAATGGGTGTATGATAAAAACAAAAAAAAAGGTTTGTTTGTAATACATACAATGCTGAAATAAAAGGGTTCCTATGTCATAGAGGATAAAAGTTTTTTTTATCATATAGTACAATAACTATTTAAACGACTTTAATATGGTTCTAAGTTAGGTAGATCATTAGTTGTATTTAAAATATCAAATATTCCCGTAAATCTAAGAAGTATTATTTGAACCATATCTTACTTAGTATCACAGTTAGCTCCCATATACACCATTCCAATTTCTGGGGTCGGATTGTCTCTAAATTTATGGTAAGATTCAGCAGGTGACGCTGGAAAGGCTTCTGGGTTCCGAACAGACTCTGCGTAAAACCTCCATGATCGCCAATGACTGCATAAATCTAAAATTACAATTTTTAGTTAATAATAAATTAAGTTTTTATAATCAATAGAAAAATAATATAAATAACTTAAGAATAATTAAGATATTTATAATTTAAGTAGCAATTTCGGCTTGTATGTTACTTCAGGTTGTCTATAGTATACAAGTACTAAATATCATCCAAATCCGTCTAGCCATTTTAGCATGAAGAAATAACAGCACATTCACATACGTATAAACACACACTAACACACAAATATCCACCCGCCCTCCCCCTCCCCCTCCACCCCCACACGCACACGCACGCAAGCACGAATGCACGCACGCACGCACCCGCATGCGTTTTTATAACAAAAGAAGGACGTACATCGAAGGAAATGTTATTTTACAATTAAATTCTTTGTAATTGACATATATTACAGCAATAGGCTAATATTTAAAATAATATTATGTAGTAGGTATATAGTACATTACAAAGCTAAAGCTAATAAATAAATAAATCGAATTCGAATAAATTTTTGTTACACATATTTGAAAAGTATGCTCACATCGCGATCGGTTCCGCGCTCGCGACGATGACAGGCGTCCGGCGTTGTTGGCGCGACGCGTACCTGATATTTACGCGGGAAATAGTTTCTAATTCCCCTTTATAAAACATGTCTCTGAGGTACTTATGTACCTACATACATAATATGATGCAAGCTTTCTCTCTGGCAAAATCTGTCAGCAGTTAGTATAGATAGAGAATAGATAAAGAGGTAAAGGTTAGAAAATACTATAAAAAAATTAAATCACCTTTATTTTACCTTGATCGGTCGAAAACACAGAAAAAAACTTTATTTCTTAGTAACAGTATGGATATGATGAATTTTTATATCCCTAACTTGAGATATAATTGGTGGGATACCAACTTTACAACACAAACTTTCATCCTCTGTTGCACCACCTTTAAGTTTTATTTTCGCGAAAAGTAGTCTGTGACCTTCATTCAAGTTACCATCTCTTTATATTAGTTCATCAAAATCGGTCCAGCAAAGTTCAAAGTTTAGATGTGAATACGTAACAGACAGACAAAAATGCAGACAAAGTTACTTACACATTTATAATATTAGTTTGAATTTATAGTGTTTGTTTCTATGTTATGAAAAAATACACCCTCCTTACAATAAAAGATGTTCTTTAGTTATGATTTTTTTTATTTAATTTTTTTTAAAATTTAAGATTAAATTAAATTAGACATGGATTTAATTTTATATTATTAGGCCGATTCTATCGTAAATACAAGTATTATATGCTTTAATAATCTTAACAAGTATGCTACGGTTTAAATGAAACATTATAGAACATTATGAAAAGCTAATGATGTACACGGAGGGTGTCGTAGTCCCGCTTGTTTAAAAAAAGCGAGGGCGTGCCGTTTCTATACTACATTATAACTAAATCCTAGACTATGTACGTATGAAACAACTTACTGTCGTCTGAAAGGGGAACAGGTGCAAACCGTGGACAACCCGGCTGTATACTTTTTCCCCCATTAGGCCAGAAATCGGCCGTTCCAGTGCGAACTGGAGCGCCGTATCCGCCTGCATCTGTGTGTATCACATCTACAAACTCAGCATCTTTATCTGTGACGTGTTCCATTACTACGCCATCTGGATAAAATGCCGGGAATGCTGGATCGAGAGCTGTCAGTCTGAAATTATGTTACTTTTGTTTAATATAGGGTAATACAATCTACCATGTTATCGAGGTACTGAGAGATATTCTTGAGAAGTGCCTTAAGAAGAGTCTACCAATATTATCTCTGTAATAATAAAATATGTTGGGACATTAACACACATCACCATCTAGTTCCATGGTAAGCTACAAGGCCTTTGTTATGGATACCAGATGGTTGATACACTACATATATATGTATAACTTTAAGTACATACAAATTATAAATATAAACATCCATGACTGGAGTACAAACATTCGTGCTCATCACACAAATGAATGCCCTCAGCGGACTCAAACCCGCGACAGCTGGCACAGCAAGTAGGGTCACTACAAACTGAGCAAAACTGTGTGTCGCCAAAAATAGGTCAAATAAGGTTCGATTCCTTTTCGCGGCTATTATACCCAAAGTTAGTTACCCTTAAGAACATATGTAAAAAAATATTATTTTAGAAATAAAAAGTCAACTTAATAATATTATTAATTTATAAAAATCGAAATTTTTAGTGTCTATACACCACCTCGTGTTAACTTAAATTATGTTACGTACTAACAAACGTAACTATGTTATTTATATATACGTATTAAATTTATATTCTTTTTAAATCATCAACATTAGAGGCTCTGGAAACACTGTGTTCTACCTTTATATTACAATTAATACACGCAAAAAAAATATGTTCAGTAACTACTAGTATGGTTCTAGCTAAAATGAACTTCATACATATAAAGAAGAAGGCATTTTTTATTAGTCACTACATCGGAAGGTCATCGATGTCGAAATGGTATATTAATAATAGGTTTTTACGTACCAATACAAATAATAGGTTTCTCCTACTGTCGTAGTTACCATGCTCATATTTATTTTTATACTTGCAAAGAAAAGCACAAACAGGCATATCCCACGGGAACCGTTCATTTTTCCGGGATAAAAAGTAACCTGTTGTTTGACCGGCAATTTGAGATATCACATCATGCCAAATTTTACTTAATTAGGTGCATAAGTTGTTGTGTACTAAGTTGTATAAGTTACAATGGTTTTTTAACTATCCCACGGGAACTCTTTAATTTCCCTGGATGAAAAGTTTTGAGATGCAAAATTTCATTTAAATCGGTCTAACAGTTTCGGCCCTTACAAACAGACAGACTGAAAACAAAAAAAATGAAAAAAAAAAATCATTTGGATTTGTTTTATTTCTCTTCCTACATCCCCTGACTTGGTTTTTAGCATTTTTTTCTATGTACAGACATTCAACCTTTACAGTTTTATTATATGTACCTATAGATAAAAACGTAAACATTACCTTCAACGTTAAAATCGTACAGCGGCATTGAAACTTAGATTCGTATCTTAATTACAGGATAATTATTGTCATGTTTATAGCGGCATATTATGATTTTAATGGAGCTTTTTATACGCACATATACATACATATAATTATAATTCATTGTAATGAAAAAAAAAACACATAAATTATTACAATTAAAACTATCAGAGGACGACGTGGTTGCACTCAGCATTTCTCAAAGTGAAAAAAATGGTTTTTACCGCTATTCGCTATTTAATACGAACCATATATTGTGTCATTAGTGAATGAGTATCACAGTAGGTTTAAAATAATCTATACAAATAATAAAATTCTAACGTAGCCGAATCTGTACATTAAATATTTTTTGGAAAATCTAATTGAAATAGTCATTTCTATTGAAACAGAGGCCGAATCTATAGTTTTTAGAATTGTTGTCTGTCTGTCTATGACCGCATCACGAGAAAACATACATACTAGACATATTTTGATGAAATTTGGTATGATGATAGCTGGTTATCCGGGTCAACATATATACTGCGGGAAAATATCTTAGCTCTGAGAAATCTATACTAAACGTTAAAATGTAACTAGGGTCGAAACTGAGCGGAGCAAGGATGCGTCGCTAGATTTTCATATATTTATAAGAATAAACATTTACTCATACTTTTCTTATAGGCGGCAATATAGGCAATAGGCATGGGTCTTTAGTTGTAAGATCAATTTTAGGCCAATATTAATAGTTTGTATACGAGGCATTTTCATTCAATTATGATTTGAAAAGGTTTTACAATGATGTAATGAATATTATCTATATGTAGTTTTATTTTATTCTACGATGTTTGTCTAAATAGAGCAATGGATTTTTGAAGTTATACTGCTTTTGGCACGGAAAAATTATGAGAGTAAAATTATGATGCGCGCGCACACCGACAGCCAAAAAGCGACATGATGAAGTTAGCTGCATTCCTTTTACAAACAGAGAGTTGTGACATACGGAATGAAATTTTTAGCTATTTTTGTTTTGTTACGCCAAAGAAGTTTTACCACGAAAAAAAATTGTTTAAAATAAAATTATACAATTATTTACATTTCTTTAAACAATGGATAATGCAAGAGAAAAAAATTAACCATTGTAATTTTTTGTATAATAAATACCACGCATTAGGTTATATACTCATACATTTATTTATTGTAAGTAAATTCCAAGGCCAAAATTACCATTAGTTGTTTATAATATTCAATAAAGAAATAATATATTTTAGTGATATAAATATAATTCTCACTCGACTAGTTTCACATATGACTTGACGATACGTTTGGCTTAGTTTGTAGTTCTGTGCCAACGGTCGCGGTTTGAGTCCCGTTGGCATTCATTTGTGTGATGAGCAAGAATAGTTGTACTCCAGTCATGAGTGTTTATATTTATAATATGTATGTATTTAAGATATATTAAATGTGTATTGTATAAACTATCTGGTATCCATAACACAGCCTCGTAGCTTACCATGAAACTAGATGATGCTGTTAATATCCTGACATATATATTTATTACACACCTATTTTTCTATAGGAGAGGGACGGAAATTGCATTGTTTTACAAAGTAATAAAGTACGAGTAAAAAAATATGAAGAGATCGGAAAATGAACCTTTTCACAATTTTATTGTATTTGTTTTTTAAGTCCCTCGCTAAGTAGCCGGCTACGTGGCTTCCGAGAGAATGTCCTATTACTTGGAACTTATCTATTTGTAAGCCGTCTTCAATAAGCTTGTTTATTTGCTCCGCCGAGGCAGCTCCTACCTGAAATAAAATAGAATGTTTGAGAAACATAATATAAGTACAATTTTTATATAATTGTTTTGATGTAAAAGTTTTCTGATTTATTTAAAAAATTTGGCGTTTAATATAACGCGGTTTTAAATTACTAGTGCCCGACCTAAAATATTATCATGTAGCTTTTAGGTCAAGCTTTCTAGGAAAACTTATTATTATGGAAATAAAATAAAGTCTATATTACTTTTAGATAAAGTACCTTGTCCTAATTGTAAAATCATTATTAAAATCGGTTCAGTAGTTTCAGAGTTTATTAATAGCAAACAAATCAATAAACCATTTTGTCAGATAAACTAAACTGTATAGACATTGGGTTTAATTATAGTCTTAAATTATAGTAATAAATCTAAATTTTTCAAAAATTAACTTTTTGAAAAATTTAGATTTATTACTATTTAAAAAACAAAAAGGTTATGTTTGATAAAACCAATCAATATCAATTTGAACGTTTCTATTCATTATACAAATTTATTCAAAAACTAGGATTGCCCGCGTTCAGATGACCAAAATCCACATTCTTAGGTTTTACATATTAGTATACTCTTACATTGCAGTTTTTGATTTTTTTCTTGATGTTGACCCGAAACACCAGCTATCGTCATACCAAATTTCTTCAAAATCTGTCCAGTGGTTTTCTCGTGATGCGTTCTCAGACAGCAGAAAGACAAAAATTCTAAAAACTATAGATTCGGCCTCTGTATCGATAATAATGTTTATTTCAATCCGATTTTCCAAAAAATATTTAATGTACAGATTCGGCTTCGTTACAATTTTATTATATATATGAACATAAATTATGAATCGAACTTATGCAAATATATAACTTACTTTCTTGGTATTTCTGGCAGCGTTAACTAAATAAGAGCCATGAGACATATTTGACCAATCAAGCAACACTACGTTCGTGCCCGGCCTTGCTTCTAAGTACGCGTTCACCATGACCTGTAGAAATATGAATATTGTAAGGCCCTATTAATGACGTAGGTGGAAAACCCGTAATTTTAAAGTCGGTTTTAATTTAAAATCTTAATATGATTTCGCAATAATGCTCTAATTGTTTTCTTTTAGTTTAAATGAATATGTAGTCTACAGCAGCCATACTCAACCTTTTTTTTATAGGGGCCACAAACGCGTTTCAGTCATGGTGTCGAGGGCCGCAAGCAAAAATTACTTAGGTCTTAATGAAAACATAACTCCAAGTTAACGATGTAGTTTCTTTTTTAACAAAGATATGTTATAATGCGATTTTTGATGCTGCCACATGCGGCCCGCGGGCCGCAGGTTGAGTATCGCTGGTCTAGAGTGTATATATGTATTGCTGTACCATAATTATATATTTCAGGGACCATTAGCTATTAGGCCATAGTCTACATTGTCGAAATATGGGATGGTGGACTTTTACGGTTTCAAAAACTAGATAATATCTCTCAGAAATGCAAGTTTCCTCTTGTTATTTTTATTATCATCATGGATGTTAATTTTGAAAATAAGATTTATTATTATCCATGAAGCACGAAAATCTCAGAGCTGCCAAATCTGAGGTTAGATCACTTCATTATGAATACTACGTTACGTAGTATAAAAGTATATTTTTTTCACCTGAACACTTTCTTGTTGGGCAGTTTCTATAAAGCCATGAATGTAAAGGACGGTTGGATTGTTGTTGTCGAAGCCTTTGATATCCAGAAGACGGAAAGCTTGATTGAGCGGTAAATCAACGTATTCTTCGAATGAATTTCTGAAATAAATATAAATATATACGTATATTATAAATAGTTTATCAAGTATTCGCATATAAAATTTTACACAAGAATAAATTGTCTCAGTTTATCGCCATTTATTTTTTTTTTTTCTTATTTCTGAAGTGAAACTTCTTCAGAATTGTTGTGATTTGAAACTCGAAGTTAGTAGTATTTTTTATAGTTGAGTTTGAAAGACCTAAATGGATTTATCTAAGGTTTTAATTATATTGATTTTATTCTGTTGCAAGAATGAAGGCAACTTATTTTTAGTTCACGTAAGCTACTCGTATTTTATATTACGGCAACGTAATGAAAATATTTATTTATAGTAATAGTCTAAGCTCTAGATTGTTCTGCTACTTGGACACTGTTACTGAAAAAGCTATAGTATAGATTTTCATTTTCAGCTAGAATTATTATCAAATTATTATTATTTCAAGACGTTCACTATTATAATTTTTAAAAAGGAAGGAGCAAATTGTTTTAAGTCACTTCTTTTTTTATTTGGTACTAGCGACTCATCTTCACTTCGCTCGGGTTCGTCCCTAGGAACGTTTTAATAATTTTTATTCATGTTTTCAATATGGAATAGATAGATTATATTATATGATATATAACCTATAATCTTTCTCAATAAACGGGCTATTTCATGCAAAAAGAATTTTTCAAATTTAAAAAAAAATTAGTAGTTCCTGAGATTAGCGCGTCAGCCTCTTTATAATATTAATAAGTATATAAATAGTACACAACTGAATACAGCCCTCGCTTATTTCTGGTGCGTCCCTAGGTGCCTAAGAATAGACTATATGTTACTTCAAGTCATTGTGTATTTTTGTATAAAATGTAATCCAAAACCGTTCAGTCTTTTCAGCATGAATGAGTAACACTCACATACAAAATTTTGCATTAATAATAATTAATTATAATCAGTAGTGCGATGGTTATTATTTTTTACTCTAACCGTATATATTTTAACTGCCTCGGTGGTGTAGTGGCTAGCATGTACGGCTGCACACCCGGAGGTCCTGGGTTCGAGTCCCAGGTTGGGCCAAGTTTAGTTATTGAGTCTTTCTGTATAGTAAGCCTCAGTAACAGCCCGGAGTTGGGAAATTGGCGGTGTTTCAACCCCGTGCCTCGGAGAGCACGTAAAGCCGTCGGTCCTGCGCCTTAACTCTCACTGGTCGTGTCGAGTGGTCGTCCCACCGGAGTATGAGAGTGACAGGAATAGAAAGTGCACTTGTGTCTGCGCGTACACTTGTGCACTATAATATCTCCTGCGCAGTTGGCTACTCTCAATGAGATTGGCCGCCGTGGCCGGAATCGGTCAGGAGAACATCAGATATACTTTTACCTATGATTATTAAAAAAAACCGAAATTTTATGGGAATTTGCAATAAATGTTTATTTAACTAGTTATTAAGAGCGATGCTAGGGGTTACAGCTAGTTTAACATTATTACATATATTGCGATATGGTTGTAAGGTAAACGTGTAATTCACCTTCACAAAAAAAATTACAAATGCTTAGCATATTGTTGTTTTGGAAAAAAAAATCAGATAACTGAAGTAACTGGCGCAATGTGACCTACAATATAATTAAATGTTTTAAATCTGACGGCAAATCTTAAGATTTAAGCATAGAATCCTTAATTTGATAAATCAGCGGTAAAAAGTTCATGTTTTATGCTTCAATGAAAATGGTTTACTTCTAGCATTGACTTAATAAAAATTTGAGTTGAATGACATCATTATCACATAGAGAAATAGTTAAAATTGTTTTTTTTTTAAACAAAATTAGCTATATCGGTAAAAACTTGCCTTATTACGCCATTACTACTGCCCATACTTATATTATAAGTATATGTAAGTTATACGTAATGATTTTTTTTTGTTTATGTTATTTTAGTTACTACAAATTTAATTTAATTCGAGACAAAGACACATGACTCATATTAAATGAGATGGCGAATTCTTTTTAACAGTTCTTACTTTGCTTCACAAATTATATATATAAATAATTTATTTTCGACAATTTATACTACATATATAGAATATCATTAATATTATGAATTTTGCATGATTTTTCTTGATAATTATGCAGATAATATATTTAACTCTCATTGTAATACACTTGTTTGTCTATTTAACCTCATACCTGACACCTTTTAAACAGACCTTAAAAACAGATTTTTATTAAAAGTTTGATAAAACAGGTTCTGTAATTAATTATTAAATCTAAAGATAAAATTAAGGCTACTCGTATCACCTCATATATATTATTTTTAATGAAACTCTAATGAGTCTAGAACATGAAATTTTGCATAAGATTTGCTTATTCAACGAAGTCGAGTCTTATGGAGGATGAAAGTTGTCATTTTTGATGAAAGAATTATGAAAATAGATTTAAAGCTTTTTATATTACCGATGAAAAAGCTCATCGAGCTTACAGCTTGTCTTTAACTATAATGTACGATATCCATTTCAACTATTAAAATGTTTACAACTATAAATGCAATGGAACTTTTCGATTCAGAGCTTATTTTGTAGTCATATGAATATTATATAGAATCGTTTTAATCGGTTTTCTTCTTTCCTCCTTTAATAAAATATGCCAGAAATAGACTTTATTTAATGTAATTTTTTTACTGTTTTTAAGTTCTACATAATAAAAAACCTAAAATGATACCTGCAACAAGTTCTTAAGTTACGCAATCTATGAGTTTATATACCTATAATGAAACTAGTGACTCACCCCTGCTTTGCTCGGGTTCGGCTCTAGGTATATTTTAACGGTTATTATGGAAACTACTGGAAGTAACGGAATCGTACATTTTTCCGGGCTAAAGAGTAACATATGTGTTTTTATTTTAGACTATAATCTATCTCTGTGCCAAATTTCATCCAGATTTATTTAGCCGTTCTGACGTGTTTGAGTAACTAACATCCATCCATCCAAACTTTCGCATTTATATAGTAAGTAGAATATGAAATAGTAACAAAGCGAAACCTTACATGAAATATTATGTTACCTACGTATTGTGTGTAGGTTATAGACCTCAAAATAATAGATTTTGAAAGTTTTGCCTGTATGTCTGCATGTCTGTTTGTCTGTAGATCTGATCACTCTTCACACACAAAAAGTACCGAACGATTTTAACCAAATTTTGTGTAGTGATAACTTATTACTAGCGTCTATATTTAGGATATCTTTTATTACACGAAAAATTTCTCATTCCGATAGTTAAACGATTTTCAAAAACGAGGTATAATTTTTGGCCGGTATTTTTTTTATCCATAGTATGTAGATTACAAACTGTAGGTATATCTATATTTTTACCCAACTGAAGGAAGGTTATGTGTTTGACCTGTATGTATGTATGTCTCAGACTGCCTTCCTTCGTTCCTTCCTCATACCCACGGGAAGACACACTAACTAGTTTTGCCAAATAGTCCTTAGAAACGCTGGCTAAACCTTAAAAGATACATCAACACAATGTACTAGAAAATTGTAGGTCTTAAAAAGGCCTGCCAAAAAGTTTGCAATAGCACGTGTCTATCTCCTAACGTACACTGGAAATAATTTTTTTTATCTATTTAAAACGTAAGTAAGGACGTACCCGAGCGAAGCAAGTTTATGTCGCTAGTATTATGCCATCGAGATTGGCAAAATCTTTCCAACCAAACTATGATATGTTTATATTGCGTGTATGTAAGTAAGTTTACTTAAGAAAAGATATAAATAAAGTATATTCATGTTAAAACCTATAAGGTTTTAAGTAAAACGGCAATCATGCTAATGCTCTTAAATTGCAGGTAAAAGCTAGAGAAATGAATCTTAAATGTACAATTTGAATAACATACCCATTGTAAAATCTGAGGTAGATGTCTTCTACTCGGTTTGTTCTGTCTGGTAATATTCCTGAAAATATAATACATGAATACTTTATAATTTAATATTTTAAAATATTAACAAATAAGTATGTGTTTTTCAATAATTTATGCCTTTAGTTAAAATAATATTATATAAATATTTATAATATATTAATATTGTATTTACTAAATATTACTGAAGCACGGTAAAATGAAATTCGCTTGAAACAAAACAAGCAAGTTGGTATAAGTTTTCAACTGAGAGTGAATGCTAAGTAATTATTTCCATTACAGAGTTTCAAAAGTATGAAAACGTGAAAGCGTCTCAATTAGAACTAAATATAACATTTATTCATCAACAAAACTATTCCTTGACTGAATGAAAAATTATAACCCTTGAACAACTTTTATTTATATTATATAACTAGCGGCTCACCCTCGCTTCGCTCGGGTTCGGCTCTAGAAAAAACACTAATAGAGATCTATTAGTTCCCACGGGAACCGTTCATTTTTCCGGAATGAAAAGTAACCTGTTGTTTGAGCGGCAATATAAGGTATCAGAATGTTAAATTTTACTAAATTAGGTGTATAAGTTGTTGTGTACTAAGCTGTATAAGATACTATAGTTTTTTAACTATCCCATGGGAACTCTTTCATTTTCTGGGATGAAAAGTATTTAAGATGTCGACCGGGGATATAAGGTACCACCATGCACAATTTCATTTAAATCGGTCCAACAGTTTCGGAGATTAACGCGTACAAACAGACAAACAGACATAAAGGCCGCCAACAGGCCGCTGTTTACATATTTAAGATCCCTATGTAAATATTGCCTGAAATAAATAAATAAAAAATAAAAAAAATAAATAAATAAAAACAAAAAAAAATGAAAAAATCTGGATTTGTTCTATTTTTCTTTTTACGGGATGTAAGAAGATAACTGACTTGGTTTTTAGCATTTTTTTTCTATGTACAGACATTCGACGTCTACAGTTTTATTATATTTATTGATAGAGTAAATAATCTATAATAAAACAGTAATATATAATAATGAAAATAGTTATAGTGAGTGTACCTTATGAGATAGACATATACTATTGAGAACTTTTCTATCGACCTTTTTAAGACTTACAATTTTCTTATACAATGTTTTGATCTATCTCTTAAGGTTGAGCCAGCGTTAGCCATATAAATTTCTAAGGACAATTCTATAGAACCATTTATTGTGTTTTCCCGTGGGAATGAATAATTTTCCTGTCGTAAAAAGTATCCTAAATGTTGATCCGAGTACTAAGTTATCACTATACAAAATTTAGTTAAAATCGGTTCAGTACTTTTTGCGTGAAACGCGCACATCGATTTGACTAAGTTAGTTTTATTATGCGTATAGATAAAAATAGATATTGCTTAGGAGATATACATATACTATTCAGAACTTTCCTGTAGGACTTTTTAAGACGTACAATTTTTTATTATATTGTTTTAATGTATATATGTCTTAAGGCTTAGCCAGCGGAAGGTTTCTAGGGAAGACTCGATAAAACCAGTTATTGTATCTTCCCGCGAGAAAGAAAGTTTTTCTTGAAGTAAAAGGTATCCTAAACGCTGACTCGAGTAATAAGTTATCACTTCACCAAATTTCGTTGAAATCGGCTCATTACTTTTCGCGTGAAACGGGCATACAAAAACAGACAAACAGACATACAGGCAAACAGACAAACAGACAATTTTTTAATAACTATTGTTTTGGGGTCTATGTTGTGTACATAATATGTTACAAATAAACGAAATCATCTATCCCACGGGAACCGTACCTTTTTCGTGGATATAAAGTATTCTGATGTACTCGTATGACCTATATTATTGTAAAGTTTCATCAAAATCCAATCCGTAGTTTTTGTGTATTAAGCTGTATAAGTTACTATAGTTTTTTGACTATCCCATGGGAACCCTTTAATTTTCCGGGACGAAAAATAGCCGATTTGTTATTGTCATGTATGAACTATATTATTGTTAGGTTTTATTAAAATCCAATCAGTAGTTTTTGTGTACTAAGCTGTATAAGTTAATATAGTTTTTTCACTATCCCACGGGAACTATTTAATTTTCCGGGATAAAAAGTATCTAAGATGTTGCCCGGGGATATAAGGTACCACCATGCAAAGTTTCATTCAAATCTGTCCAATAGATTCGGAGATTAGCCCGTACAAACAGACAAACAGACAAAGAAACAAAAAAATTGAAAAAAAATCTGGATTTGTTTTATTTGTCTTCTTACATCTCCTTGACTCGGTTTTTAGCATTTTTTGCTATGTACAAACATTCGACCTCTACTGTTTTATTATAGTATAGATTATTTATTATATTATATATTATAGCTATAGACTTACCATCGGTTCGCTCTGGTTCGTCCCTAGTTGATTCTTTAAATTGATATAACTTTTTTATTTATGAACCGATTGAAATAAAACAAATACTACATGTTAAGTGAAGCTTACGCACAAACGCACAGACAAACAGACAAAAATTCTAAAAATCTTTTTTTTGAGTTCTATTGCGTTAATGAAGACCTCCAATATAAATTTTTCCCAAATATCTTCCATGTAATTGTTTCAATTTTTTTTTTACAAAACCAATAAGCAGTACAGACTACGGACGTAGTGCGCCGCTCCCAAGTAATTTGGGAAATGGGAAGGAAGATGATGAGATTCTACAATTTTAAATTATAAATATTTTTAAATAGTACCTATTTTATCCTTTCTAAATTTTTATTAATTAAACAAATTTACATACCACTAAATATGACATTTAAATCAAAAATTTCACTTTCAGTTACATTTTTTGCTTGGATACTGAAAAATATTTGGAAAACAAGCAAAACGTTGTATAAGACGTACATTTCAGTAAGATACAGTGTAATGAATAGATATTTGTTTCATATTCATGGTATTTATTGTTCAGCATAAAGGTATTTACCCACTGTATCGCTATACTATGACTGCGTAAATACTGAGCAAGAACTTAGGATTATGTTATAAAAAACCACTCAGCAAAATTTTGATTGCAGTACCTAAAAAATTATGATTCAGGATATCAATTTTCAATCTTTTTTACTAGATTATTATAGGACCATCATATATATTAAATACCACATAATTGTTTTTTTTCTCATAATATATCTACGAATACAACATAGTTTATTAATTTTGGTATTTGACTTATTATTTGATAAGTTTTTCGGTACCGCCAAGGAACAATAGTGTATCTTAATAGGTAGTATAATATAATAAAGTAATTTTTACTTTTAAATTATCTTAATATCACGTTATACGTTGTTCTTTGCAGATGTTGATTTAGAGTTGTTTTGTCACTTTTATTCCTGTTATGGTCATAGGGTGGTTTTAGTGTGCATAAATCATTATTCTGTGAAATTGAGATCTGTAAATTATTAGTACAGAGATCATTTTAGTTGTTTATGCTGCTGTAATTTTACGTAAATTGACCATTTATATTTCCATTACAGCAAGTATAAGTAAACATATTTTGAAAACAAAACTTCCTACTCATTGTTACATAACAACTTTGATATAAGATCACGAACACGTAGGACTATTCTTAGAAGATCAAATTGTAACATTGCATTTACACATATTTTATGGACGACGATGTAGACATTACGGCCAAAATTATGGTATGAATGGGTATTTTTTTTAAATAAATAATTAAAAACACCTCTTTGAGAGTACCTATCGTGGATTCAGCGAAACAGTAAATATTGTCTCCTGAATTACAATAAAATGTTGTAGGCTCTATTCTTTTTTAAAGCAACTAACTGTAACGCAAAACGACATTTAGTAAAACAAAATTTTCATCTGTTGGAATAGTAAGTTCACTTGCTGCACTAATTATAATATATAATATATATAAATAAAAATGAATGTTGGTAAGCGTATAATTCAAGAATGGCTGGACCAATTCGGCAAAAAATTTTTTTGTATGTTTTAGGTCCACGGAAGGTTTTAATAAAGAGAAAAAATGAAAAATTAACAAAAAAAATTATATGGCTAACGCTGGCTAATAACTATTTATATCTATTTAAAACGTACCAAGTTGTTGTTGAGTATAATAAATACAATAATGATGGATAGCTTGATTTACAAAAAAATATTTTTTGGGCGTTGGTCGTCTAATTTTAATACGTTATTACGCAGGTTAAGTGGTTTTCAATGTCATTAATATAGGGGGACGGAAAAGTAAAGTGTATGATAAAATTCATTTTTCGGGTGTCAAATAAAGTTAATTTATACGATGAACGATTTTCAAAAACAGGTTATTATGTTTGGCCGGTATCTTTTTTTATATATATGTAGATTACAAACTGTAAGTATGTCTATATTTTTACCGAACTGAAGGAAGGTTATGTGTTTGACCTGTATGTATGTATGTATGTTATCTAACCAACTCTATGTGGGAACATATTGTACGAGTATATACGTAGAAAGACTCGCAGCTAGTATAGAATATGTATGTATGCCTCCGACTGCATAATACCTACTATCTTGCTACGTCGACATGCTCTCATCTTTGTAGTTCGCTTTTTACGTAGTCGGGGTTTTTAAATTATAAAATTATCTATACATATAACAAAATTGTAACTAAGTCAACTCTGTACATTAAATATTTTTTGGAAAATTTAATTGAAATAGACATTATTATCGATACAGAGTCCGAATCTATAGTTTTTAGAATTTTTTCTGTCTGTCTGTTACCGCATCACATACAGCATACCGCAATTTGGTATGATGATAGCTGGTTATCCGGGTCAACATATAGAATATTTTTTACCGCGGGAAAATACCTCATTTCACCTCAGGTTACCACAAATGTGACCACCTGTGACGTGACAAGGAGGGGGGAAGGGTTCAAAAAATATTAAATTCGTGTGACATAATTCATGGATCTATTTGAATAATATTTGAAGCTCAAGTAGCATTACTTGACTTAAAAATGAGATCTGTTAGGCCGTCTTCAATAACACATGCCGTAATG